TTCAACAGATCAAACACAACAAAATCAACTAACTGAAAACTAAATACAACATTTAAATACAAATATCGCAGGGTAGCACCGCGCTTTGAATACCCTTGCAGACAGACTTGAGCTACATATTACAATGGGATTGAATGCGAGTGCTGCAGCTGGAAGTGTCTGAAGCAGATGCCCTAGAGACAACGTCCAGGTCATGCGCACTATTACATACGCGCACATGCACACACACGCACACACACATGCACGCATCAGCTGTGCGTTTTCTTCCTTCTATAGGGTAAATGGATTCTCGACTAACTTCGGTATTTACAGTCCGATCTTTATCATAGCTTCAGGGATTGTTTATGGCAGACAAAAATGTGTATATACCAAAGTCCAAGGCTCTACCTATAAAATGTATTAATTCTTTTATTTTTGAAGGGATATTCAAAAGTGAAATATTTGTTAAATATATGTAATGCTGTACAATAACTTACAAGCCAAGTTTGGTAATGTCTCTTAGAATCTTCGAGTTATGCTGAAAAAAAAACTTGTTTTCAAAACGATTTTTATCGATATTTTGGTTATGTGACTACATATCGATATATATATATATAATATTATAAAATATATATTACAAATTTCCAGTTGTTAGCCTTTGGTATTTCTGATATCGACGTGCTCCGACAAATGTACATGGATCAAGATTATCTCCAAACTAAGTGCGATAGTTAATGCTTTCCTCTGGTTGTTTGCATTTACACTAATCTGAATGACTTTAGGGTCTAACTTAGCTAGATTATAAGATGTTCTCACTTTACCGAAGAATCCACTAGAAGTTCGATTCAAGCTGCTTAAAGCGACTTAGGCTTAACTGGGGAAGCACAGACAATCATAATACTCTTCAACTTCTTTATTCTTTACATTATTTTTTTCGAGTCACTTGTTATGCAGCACTCCGAAACAATGATTGGGAATGCTTTTTCGAGAAAGAACAAGAAGCAGAGCTGTCTGTTCCATCGGCTGAGGAGATTTGCATACGAAAGTTGTTCAGGCCTAAGACAAAGATCCAAAAATAGCCATCAAAAGCATATTTTGTGTTTTGTTTTGCAAAATGCCAATAATGAAATCAATTTCAAAATGTAATCTGCTTTGCCCTTCATTTTAAGGCTCTTTTTTTGTGGAGTCTTCGATGATATAATTCACAAAAATGGGGAAACAATCGAACGGGCATAACGTTTAAACAATACAAAGCCCAAATAATAATGTATGAAGATTATGATAGAGTTGACAATAATCGGGCTGGTGGGGCTCATAATGATGAATAATACTTAAGATGTTTCTAAATATATTTGGCAAAAATCGCTTTAAATAGCTTTAAGTCACAGCGCAAAATGTAATACCCCAACGAATCGATTGGAAATGGGGGATGACTTGCTCAGACGCTTCAAATTGGTAGCTTTTTTCTCAGCTCGGTTTTGTTTTCTTCATCTTGACAAATGTCAACGAACAGATTGCCGCCCCAAAACAAAAACAAAAAAAAAAAAAGAAGGCCGAACAAAAGCCGCCAGACATTCGAAAATTGTATTGTTACAAATATATTTTGTTAACAACAAAAGACAGAGACAGCGCGAGAGCTAGAGTGAGCGCGAGTGAGAGAGAAATTCACCTGTCGTCTGCGTCTTTATCAATGTCGTACGGTACTTTAAGTTTATAGAAGAAGCAGAAGAAAAAAAGTTCAAAATAAAATAAAATTTATAAAGACCAAAAGAAGTTTTGGCCCAGAGTTCATATGTCAGACGAGCGGGTCGCGGGGCTTTACAGAACCGACTGCTGCTGCTGCTGCTGCTGCTTCTTCTTTTTGATATGTGTCGGCCTTTTTTGTTTTTGTATTTATTTTTTAGTTATAGGTATTTTATTTATGTTTTTCTTTACGCTTCACCGTTAAGCTAACTGCACATTTGCTTTGTCTGCTTATTGGCGCTTATTGTTTTAGTTGATCTCGGACATGATTTGTTTTTCATCTGCTTCGACCTCGGCGACCAAGAAGTGCCCCTTAGGGGCCCCACAAAAAAAAAAAACCAAAAAAAAAATTGTTTTAATTATGAACCCAACTCTCGATAATCTGTCGCGACGATATTGGGCCTTCGATGGAGCCGATAGCAGCTTTCCAGCACGTTTTACATTTAGTTCAGGTACTACGCGTAATTAATATTCTCTGACTCCATGCTACCCCACATATCTTCCACCTTACCCACTATTAGTCAGCTACTTGAATTTGAATTTCAAAAAGAATGCAACATAATGAGCTGCGTATTTGAATTCTAATAAAATCAGTTGCCAAATCCAATTGAAAGCAGCCTCAAGGAACTCGGGCTGTTTAAGTAGTAGAGCTGGCAAATTTGTTATGCGCTTTCCTGTAGATCTAATATGATATGATATGATATGATATGATATGATATGATATGATATGATATGATATGATATTATATGATATGATATATGATATGATATGATATGATATGATATGATATGATATATATGATATATGATATATGAAATGAATAGCCTTCAAGAATAGCAAAGTTTTTAAAAAAATTAAATTAATTATAAACAAAATTATAGCTGCAAATGTCATATCAACTTGTTTTAGTATATCAGCCAGAGAATCCGTTGGGATTTACTTGAGTTCGTTTTCAGTTCTAGTTGAGATTAGGCAATATTGGATTCCAAAGAACTCAGGACCTTTAAGAGCATCAGCTAGCATATTTGAAGTCAATTTGTACTTGTCTGCAAATTGATAAGATATTGTAATAATTATTATGCTTGAACTTGGTTTAACTTGGAATACAAGATTGAAGAGTCAGGCCTAGTGCAGTTAAGAGCTCTAATTGAATGGCATTTGCGCAGTGGTGCATTTGTGCATTTGTGTTTTAATCCGACTAATTAAATGATAACACAATTGGCAGTCAGTGATCGGATTAGTTTGATCAGCCACAGCTGCTTCTGGACTCGAGCTTGGACTGGCACTGGAAGTTGGCAGCCTGGAAACCGTTTTAATGGGCCATCAAACGCAACAGCGGCAGCCGCCTAATCATTGTTTATGTTTATGACGACTAACCCAAGCACCACGAGGCAGCAGCCACAAGTTGCTGCCGCTGCTGCTGCTGCTGCTGCTGCAAGTGGCAACTAGCATGTGGCATGTGGCAAGTGGCAAGCATTACGCATGCGAGAAGCCGAGTGTTAAGTGTGCGTTGTGTGTGTGTGAGTGTGCTCCGTGTGTTTTCCCTGTGCGGCCTTCCATGCAAGTGAAATTTATGCAAATGGCTTGGCAATTCGTTTGCATTTGGCTTTTGCGCAATTACTTGACCAACAACTGGCCAAATGATCAGCATCGCCGCTGCGTCACCTGCTGTGTGGCATTCGATTGAACTCAACTGTGCCAGTTACGCCGGATAGCTACACACACACACACACACCAACACACACAACCCGAACGATTGCGGCGTACACGTGACAAACGCCAGCGGGCGGCCAAATTGAAATTGAAAAGCGTTTGAAATTGAAATGCGCCTCCAGCAGCAGCAGCAACAATTGACAACTGAGAATGCAAATAACAAGAACAAGAGGGAGACGAAGAAAATATATTGCAACTTGCTCAATTGTGGGTGCTGTCCGTCTTGTCCACAACATTAGCCACAGTGGTGCATTGGCCATTTGCCCTGTGAACAAAATAAATGCATGTCAGCTGCAACACATTCGCATTCAAGCTTAGCTTCTGTCAAAGTTCCTGTTAACATGCTGTTAAATATAGTTTTCCTCAAGTCGACAAAACCAACCAAAAATATTCGCTGGTTCAAACCAATGCCTCGCCAGAAGTTTTTATATCAAGAACCTGGCTTGCCACATCTGAGAGCCCAGGTTTTTGGTTCAATTCACAATTCACATATTTTTTCAGAAGTAATTTTAAATTTATTGTTTATTTAATTTTTGAAAAAATTAAAATTTTTATCTTTGCAATAACAAATTCATATATTCCTTTAAAAAAATTATGATCTGGCACAAATATTTTTGGATAATCTGTTTTAGGTTCGGTTAAAGGCTTCGGCTCTTGCCTTTGTTTTTCCCTAAGTCAGTATTATTTGACAATCGTTTTGTTACCTCCGAACCACAATCCTAATGGGCTTTATAAGTCGAAAAGCGAAACAAAACAAATGTTATAATGGAGTAGTTGACTTGAGTAGCCTATTGATAGTATCGATAAACCTATCGATTACTTGATCGATCGAAATCACGATTGGATTATCGCTCGAATTATCGATTAGATTGTCGCTGACATTATCAATAAACATATCGATATTATTATCGATTAAACATATGAAAACTATTATCGATTTAATACATCGATCAACTAATCGATATATGTATCGGTACAATTATCGATAGACGTATCACAAAAATGATCGATAAACATTAAAAACGAATTTTTCATTTCAAATGAAGTGCAAACGATTTTCTATTGTTTTTCAACCACTTCGCGAGGCCACGCAACGGCATTTGTGCATTTGCAGCATGCAAATTGTGGCAAACTGATGTGTCAACATCTCGACGCTTGCATTCAAATAGAGTTTAAAATACCTTGCTTTGCGCCCCGTGACTCTGGTTGATCCCCCTAGGGCCCCTTTAGGGCAATGCACGCGCCAAGGCTTTTCCTTGCCTCGAACCGCTAATCGAACGAAAAGCATTCGATGCCCGCACCGGATGAATGGGGTATGGAAATTGAAAATGGAGCTTAAGATGGAAATGATACGCACGCCAGACGCAGGTGACCGGCTCCAAAAATGCAACGTGATGTGAGAAACTCCTCTAGGTGAACCCCTTCCATCCCCTGGAAAAGCATTAAAACAGAGCTTTGCATTGTTTTGTTGCTATTGTTGTCTTCACATGGGGCGGAGCTGTTAGCGATATGGTGGTATGCGCGGAGGCCAAAACGAGAGCTACGAAATGAATTTTTATGTTTATAAAATAAATATTTAACATTGCAGTTGAACACGCAGATGAGTATGGATAAAAATAACACTGAACAAAAAGAAATTCGATTTAACACAACATCAACTCCCATCATCTCCTGAGACATGACTGGAGCGGTTGAAAGATTTTAAGTAATTTTTGTTGTTCATGCTTATTCCTTGGGTTTCTGGTGTGACTGATCAATCTCTATGGCCCGACTCCACACAATGGATCTCATTTTGCGAGATGCGTATTAATATTTACGACCGTTAATTGGTTAACGAAGAGAGATTTTAGATTTGAGTATTGTAGCACGTTGGTGGCAATACTCAACCGATGACAGTTCGATATTTGCAACTCGTCGCTTCAGACAACTTGACGATGGCAGCTCCTGAAGGGCAACTACCTTGTGGGAACTACTGCGTATTCGTTCTCGTTGCTAACAACTCGTTATTGCTGATTCGTTGCCTGCTTCTTTCTCGCAGCTTACAACACGTTGATTTCACTTCGTTTTCCTTGATCTCGACTCGTTGTTGCTTGCTATTTCTTACTTGTCGTTCCGCACATGTTGCTTACATTCCGTTGCTAGTCATACGTTGCATGTTGTTTAAGGTTGTGTTCTTGTTGCCTTTAACTCGTTTATTGTGCTTCTTTTCGCTGATTATTTCTCATTCGTTGTTTCTTATTGCTTGCTATTGCTTGCTCGTTGATCACCACTCATCAGTTAATCCTTCTTACTCTCTGCTAAACTGTTGATTTCGCTTTCTAACTTGTTACTCGTTGCTTCTGACGTGCTGTTGCTTACTCGCTCCTTTTTCTTGTTTCGCATACCTCGCTGCTGGAAATCACAGACTATTACTTGCTGTTTTTCACTAGTTGGTTTCAGAACTCCCTGGATAATCTGTCGGTTTCTAACTCTTAACTTTCTACTTGCTTCTGGCTAATCACACCTAAAATAACTATTTGGCTGATACCACTTACTAATCGCAGCTTATAGCCTTTGCTTTTTTCCTTCTTTCTTGTTGTTACTCTATTCGCTGTTTTCTACTAGTTGCTTCTGTCTCGTTACTTGGTAAATCATCGCTTGTCATTCGCCGATCGGAATTTCTATCCTGGCATTTTCAATTTAGAAATATAGAAGAATTGATAGAATCAATATTGTTAAAAATATGGCAATTTGTTTGGGCAGTAAATATTGAACAGCTGAATCATTGTCGAACGTATAGTGTATGATGCCGCGTTTGGTCCTCAGCACGCTGGCCTGCAACGTAGACACAGAGGATTGAAACTTCTGAACCAAGCACTCATGCATCAGATCATCGGGCAGTTGTATATGAAATGGAAAGCAATACATTCGTGCCGACTTCAGTTTGACGGTTCGCTTGCCGCCATCCTTTGGGTAGCATATATACTCATTGACCTCGATCAGCCGAATGCTATCACAGTCATGCAGTTCGGATTCCTTGAGGGCAACCATCACATAGTCCATGGAGTTGGGCATAAATAGAGCCATACGATCGGTCTGTTTCATAAAGGTATCACGGAATTTGGTATATGCCACAAGCGGGAAATTTCCTTTGCACCTCAGGTGCATCAGCTCTTTTGCGTCCTTTAGATATTTACAGCGTTCCGGCAACTCGATAACTGGCTTTTTTGTTGTTGTTGTTGTTGTTGTTGTTGTCGTTATTATTTCTGCAAGAGCTCCAAACAACGATAGCAGCAATAGCCTCAGCATCAGTCGCAGACCCAACATGATACAAACAATGAATTTGGACTAAAACAATACATAACATATATATATACACATATATGTACAAGTGTTTTTTTTTTTTTTTTGTTTTGGGCCTGGGAAAATAACTACAATCTCCAAACTTTTCTAAATTTGTTTACTCTGCTTGATTTAACAATGAAAACTTTGATCTGTATTCAAATATATATGAATATATAAATCTTGTCAAAATCGGAAAGGCACGAAATTCGACATTTTTTTTGTGGGCCCAAGCGTCGACCGAAAGAGCACTAAAGTTTAGGGATGGAAACCCTGTAAAGGCAGCTCGCAATTTGAAAAGACAGGGAAAAACTAGACTAAACTTTGAACCGAGTTGCATTCGAAGTGTACGACTTTTGACTCATTTGTTCGTGACTTGGTTCAATGTTGATTCAACTCTGAGAGATGCCAAAATGCCATTACTCAGAGCTCAAGCGTTGATTTTGCTGATTTACTGATTTAATTGTTTAATTATAGAAAATTAATTCAATTAAACGATCAGCTAGCAGCTCAGCACTGTGAACAAGCGGGAGTAGGGGCTGTGTGTTCAGTCAGTAGCTAGAAATAGACTCATTCTGAGTCTATGTAGTCCACGCTCCATTGAGACATTGCTTGTGCATTTGAATGGGACTCTTCGAGTCCGGCTAATGAGTGTCAAGAGCGGACACGACATGACATGACACGACATGGCCAAGTATTGCAAATACATCAGCTGCACCAGCAACAGCAACAGCTCCAGCTTCAGCAGAATAGCAACAGTCGCAGCAGTTCTCTAACATATTCAAATACCCTACATATATGCTATATTTAAATTGTCAGCAACTATGTAACACATGAGCCCATGTGAGTTCCACTTGCAGCTTAGCCCGATTCGATGCTCTTGATGCCCATTTGCCAGCGATTTTTCATAAGTTGTAAAAGTCCGATAATATCCGATAATATCGGATGGGCGGATCTCAAAATCCCTGCGTAGCGTGCACTTACATGGAATAAGATTAGCACAGCAACAAAATCAGCTTCCCAGCTTTGTGTCTGTCAGTTAATCGGCAGAACAAGTTTTAATTAAAATGATGACTAACCCTAGATCAAACTACTAATTCTCTGCGAACTGGACTCGTAGTTAAGCTATGTTAATGAGACTTGGTGGAAGTGCTTCTTTTTGCTGCGATATCATATAGCAGAGAGTTCGGTTAAAACTTGCCTTGTTTCATAAAGTGCACAATCAAATCATTTTCCATTTCATATTATATTCTATTCTTTTTCCAAGTTCATCTTTTCATACAGTTTATTTTTCCATTAATATAAGTTGGCAATAAAAACTGACTCGACTTATAAATTCTGAGAATGTTTTATTATTATTTTGATGAGCCATATTCAATGCTCAATTTTTACTTTAAATTTCAGTTTCAGTTTTTACTGGATACACTTTTTGTGCTCAGCAAGGGTATTTCAACTTCGACTATGCATTGAATGTGCCTCTCCCATGTTAATATAATTTTAAATGCTCTGCGAGTGTTTGTGCGAGTAATTTGATGATCAATGCAACGGCATATTTAAATATCAATGTGGCAAATTGTTGGCCCCCGTTTCATTTGCATTTGCATTTGCCTCCCTCCCAAGTTCTTGCGGGCTGGCCGTCGTCTTTTTCCCAGTCTCCCAGATTGACTTTTCCGGGCTGCAAGCAGCAACCAATTGATGGATCTATGCTATCTCTACCATCTATCTGAGCATATGATTGCATAATCCGCTTGTCACATTGCGGCCGGCCTGCTGCCGCAACTGGCTGCATTAATGCCATTTACAGTTGCCTCAATTGATATCAAGCTGCCCGCTGAGAGCGATACAAAACACTCGCCAATGCTGCAAATGGCTTAAAGGTTTCAGCACGTGTTCGAGAAGTGTTTCGCCTGAGCGACCTCCGACAAATCTCATTCAACGCATTTGTACAAGCGCACGCTTGAACCAATTGCGAATTATAAACAGCATTTGACCAAGCTTGCACTAGTTTGAACCTATTTTGGTGGGCGCCTGTCAAATAAGCAGTTATTCAAATATCAAATGCTCACCGTTTTTTTCTCACAGCAAGTGCTGGCAACTGACGTAGTTGATGAATCGTTTCGTGGCCCGTCTTTGGAGTGCAATTGAAATCGTCGTAACTGTGTTTCACTGTAGCTTCATCGCTAAAAGTCAAAGCCAGATGATTGATGCACTTTTGCTCAGACCATTTTGAACATCGTAATTAATCATTGCGCGAATAGTTTTCACAGGTGAATTTAATTCCTTGCTAGAAATTAATTTTTCCCAGTCACTTTAATGAATATGTCAAATCCCAGCTGTTAAAATGCTGCTGTTGCCAAGGCACAGCACAATTATCGATAAACTCATTCTGATATTTATCAGCTCAAAATAAATCTTAGTTGCCTTTGCAAAGAGTAAAATTCAAGCTGTGCCTTCCAGCTTGCGAGAATAACTGGGAAATAGGTGGCCATGAATAAGGTAAATCGTCCCTGATCTCTCTCTTTCTCTGTCTGCCTTGAAATTGCACTCCACAATATACCAACCTTCGCTATGAGTAACCGAATTCTAGAACCACTTGTGAATTACAGACAAATTCTGCTTTGAAAAGTGCATGGAAAAGAACTTTGCCAACTATTTGGTTGAGTTCAGCTTGTGGAATTGATCAAACAGTCTTGAGATTTACCATCATTTCATCGTGCGTTCATCTCCATATATCTTTTGCATTATCTTCATCGATGTTGGGCTGAATAACTGATGGAGATTTTCATTTAAGTGTCAACAGAGCTTCATTGAGTAAAAGCAAAGTCCACAGCGAACACCACCCGTTGCGTTTGTGCGCGCATTTTATTAAGCAATTTATTAAGTTATTGATTTCGTCTGAGAATTGAAATGGAACTTTATTAATTAAGTATTTCTAAATCTGACAGCAGCTGCAGCCAAATAACAACACACAACAAAAATAAAACTACACGACAATATTTAACTTAACGGCATTTTGTGTGTACGCTCCGTGTGTGTGTGTGTGTGTGTGATTTGTTTATTTACATTTATTTATGCATTTTGACGATGAAAACAAATTAATTTATCGATTTTGTCATTAATGGGATTTCCTTCCAACGACATTTTATTTATTTTTGTTTCGCTCTCTTTTTTTTCTTTCAATTTGTTAGTTAACTGAATTGAGAGTGCGTTTGGGTAACATGAATTTATGAGCAGGTTGGCAAATTGAATAATTAACATGATTCTGATATTAACATTATGCTGTTATACAATGTGCCTATGTAAATTGTAACTTTAACATTAACAGCGTCACTTTAACAGCTAAAGATTATGTCATTCGTAAGCTAGACTGCTTAAGTGGAAGAAGAGATACATTTGTGTGATGAATTATTAAGTATACATATAAAATATAACTATATATGTATAGAACACGAAATATATAAGAGGAAGCAGAAGTATGAGCATGAGCTTTAAGTAATAGGTGATGCTAATAGGAGAGAAGCAAATAATGTTAAATATAGAAATAGATATGGAAATAAATATAAAATGAATTTGTCACAGCGGATTTTCGGAAAGTTATAAAATCGGCAAGTGCCGTACTTGAGCTCTTCCAGTTGTTAAGGTATTCGATACGTCGGTTTTCAATGTTAATATTGTCGCTGCTGCTTGCCTCACCTCTCTCCCCCGTTCTCTCTTTCTCTCCCAACTTTCTCTCTTTCTCTCTCTCTCTTTCTCTGCTTGTGGTTGCTTCTTTTGTTTATTTGTTTGTCATGCCCCGCCACAGGTGGCACTTGCCATGCGCATCAATAATTTCCAGGCAGTCAGGCACCTGCAGCAACGCTCCACCCCCCACGCGTCCCCAGTAGTCCATTGCACTTGGGCGGGCTGTGTGTGGCGGAGTGTGGTGTGCGGGGTGGGGAGTTCTGCCAAATTTGAGTTGAGCTGTCGATCGGAAGTTGGTTCACCATTTACGACAACTGTCAACGTTCTCCATATTAATTATGAGCTTGCTTTTTTTTTTTTTTTTGAATGTTCAGTCAAAAGCCGCTCCAAGTCTGTGCACTTCCTGTGCCCCTGGACTGCCTCGCCCTAGCCCCCACCAACCTCCCCTCCACTGGCCCATGAAACTGGCTTCTTGGACACTTGAAAATTGTGTCACGCGACGCGTATCAAAATTAGTTCGTAGAGCTCAAGTCGAGACGTTGAGCTACGTACTCGGAATGGGGAATCGTTGTAGGCATCGGAATTGGCATCGGAATCGGCAGCGGCATCGGCAGCGGCATCGGTGTCGCCAGCGCATTCAATATGCGCACATTGTGCCAGTTACTTGAGGTTCCCCAAACTCATAATCAATGCCTGTACACATATTCTTTATTGCCTTTGATGGGCTATTGCACTTGACTCGATCTACCCGGGACGGGCGTGGGGCAGCAAGGGGATCTGACGCTATAAAGCGTGTAAAATACCGCTGGCAAGGAATATTCTATAGGCATTATCTAGCTGTTATAAGATCAAGAGTTAATAAATTTGAAATGTGATAACTTGTAAAGAAAACACAGTCAAATTTTGTGAAAGAGTCTAATTCAGCCAGTCTAATTGTAGTAAAATAAATTATAGCTGCATTTATAAAGATATTTTTCATAAAGTTAGATAAGATTATAATAGAGAAAATATGCATTTGAATGGCATTTCCACGACCTCAATGAACTGAGAAACTATAAGAAGTTGTCTATCAAGCTGTTAATTAATTGCAACTCTTGTTGCCAAGTTTGAAACAAATCAAAACCACAAAATCATTTAGCTGGCAGAAACAAATGCTGCCAGGATGCGGCCTCTTTCTATAAAAAAAAAATGGAATAAAATTTGTAAAAACAAATCTTGTTTCTAAGAAATTGTTTATACTCTCCATTAAGGTATCCGGGTCCCCAATCTATAGTTTCAATCAAGCGCGTCTTAAAAAAATTGAAATATGCTGCATAGTGTTCTTTAAGCTTATCAGCTCACGTTCAAAAGTAACCGCCCGCTTGGCGTTAGTTAGGGGATCTGCTAGTCGAACAGCCTGAACTTCTCCAGCTTTACATTGTTTGCTTTTCCATGCGACCTTCCACTT